GACCATAGTGAGGAAATACTAGACCAAAGCAAGACTGAAAATCAGAAGGACAAACTCCGAATTCTGAATCTCCCGTCCAGTGTCAAAGTGCTCTTCAGATCTCCAACTCCTTCCTGCTGTGGAATATTATTTTAAGATGTGTTATATTTGTTTATGCTGTGGAACATTTGTTTTTGTTTTTTTGTTTTTTGAGACAAAGTTTCTCTATGTAACGGTCCTGGCACTCGCTTTGTAGCCCAGGCTGGCCTCAAACTCACTGAGATCCACCTGCTTCTGCCTCCCAAATGCAGGGATTAAGGGCATGCGCCACCACTGCCCGACGGAACATTTGTTTTAATAAACAAAGATGTGTTGTATTCTTTTTTTTTTAATTTCTTTTTTTAATTTTCCAGAGCTGAGGACCGAACCCAGGGCCTTGTGCTTGCTAGGCAAGCGCTCTACCACTGAGCTAAATCCCCAACCCGTGTTGTATTCTTTTATGTTGCATTTGTTTAACTCTGTAAAGCTGTGTTACTTTGCCTGTCTAAAACACCTGATTGATCTAATAAAGAGCTGAGCGGCCAATAGCGAGGCAGGAGAAAGGACAGGCATGGCTGGCAGGCAGAGAGAATAAAAAGAGAAGGAGCAGTCTGGGAAGAGAGGGATGAAGGAGTAAGAGAACAAGGAGAGGAGGATGCTAGGAGTCAACCACACAGCCGCACAGCCACACAGCCAGCCACCATGAAGTAAGAGTGAAAGTAAGACATACAGAAGTAAGAAAAGAGGCAAAAGGTAGATGGGATCATTTAAGTTAAGAAAAGCTGACTAAAAAGAAGCCAAGCTAAAGCCAGGCATTCATAAGTAATAATAAGCCTCCGTGTGTGATTTATTTGGGAGCAAGGTGGCAGGCCCCCAAAAAGGGTAAAGAGTAAAAAAAAAAAAAAAGCCAACACCACCTTCCAGCTTTGTTGACTGTAACGCTTCTCTCTCTCTTGAGGTGGTTCCACACCCAGCCTGCAGTTTCCCACAGCAGGTATCCCATGACTCTAACATCTCCAACATCTTGAGGTTTCCAAGGCAACCCAGGCTTCACATTCACAGCTTCATGCAATGCCCTATCTGAGCCTCTTACTTAGGGACACCTCTGACACATACCTGGCCTCAGTAACTTTCCTTAGTCACCGAGGGAAATCCCACAACCTTTTGCTTGGATCCTTGACTCTAAAGCCAGGACCAGTGAAAGCTGTCAAGTTCTGCAGTTGATGGGGCTGGAAATTGGTCCCCTCATTCAGTTACATTTGTATCAGCTTTCTGTTACTGTTTCCTTCTGTGATTAAGCCTTTCTTTAATTCCTTTTCACAAGCAGGAACCTTAGCTGTGTGGGGAGTCACCCTGAGGTTATCACTCCCTTTATTCCATTTAGCATCAGGCTTTTCTTTAAACTTGCCATCTCCTTGGACACTTCACTGAGTGCCATTCCACTTCCTGGTGCTCCTTTTCTCCTCAAACTGTCCATTTTGTATTTCTCTTTGTCCAGCTCGCTTCTTTTCATGGTAAGAGCTGCATAAGAGTAATTACTAATAACCACATGACAGAGTCAATACTGGCTGTCTTGAAATCTCCTCTGCCAACACCATTAATCCAAAAACTCTTCAACTTGGCTTCAGGCAGACTTTTAGGACAAGGGTAAAAAACAGCCACATTCTTTGCCAAACTATCCCAAGAATGGTCTTTAGGCCACTTACTAATAATACTCTTCCCCTTTGAAACCTCTTGAGCTGGGCCTCCACAGTTCAAATTGCCCTCAGCAATGTTTTCCATGTTCCTAATAGGATGGACCATTAAGCCCTGCTTAAAGTGTTCAACCACTTTTCTAGTCCCAAGTCCCAAAGTCCTTCCTATTCCTCCAACAAACAGCATGGTGAAGCCTGTCACAGCAATACTCTACTCCCTTGTACCAACCTCTGACTTAGTCACTGTTCTGTTGCTATGAAGAAACACCATGACCACGGCAACTCTTATAAGAAAAGCCATTTAACTGGGGCCTTGCTTACAATCTCAAAAGCTAACTTAGTCTATTATCTTCGAGGTGGAGCATGGCAGGAATGTTGCTGGAGAAGTAAATGAGAGCTACATCCTGATCTGCAGGAAGAGATTGAAAAGGGTCTGGCATGGGCTTTTGAAACCTCTAAGCCCACCCCCAGTGACACACTTCCTCCAACAAGGACATACCTCCTAATCCTTCCAATCCTATCGTACTAATTCTACTTACTAAGAATTCAAATATATGAGCTACTAAGCATTCAAATATATGAGCCTGTGGGGGCCATTCTCATTCAAACCACCACACGATGAATGGCTAACAGAACTCTGACTGTTCTGAGGATATTTAGGATTTGCTAGGAGAGTCTGGAACTTAGGCAGGGCTGGATTCAAGGGTTTAGTAGGGGTTGGTCTTGAGAAGTGGCGCTCGGAGGCGGGGGGGGGGGGGGGGGGGGCATTCCAGAGAGAAGACAGAAACAGTGCAGTGCCCCAGAGTCAGGAAGGAAATGGCAAGCTTAAGGAATAGCAGTAAATCACATAGTTGGTATGTCTAAGTAAGCAAGGACCTACCTCCAGGTAGGATGGGAAGGCATACACCTGGGTTTTTACAAAGTGAATCTCAACATCCACTATGAGGACAGGAAGCTGGAGTGATTTATTAAATGCCTCCAGGAAGCCTAGTCCTTCCTGTGAGCACTTTACACTCTCAGGACCACTGTCATCTCCACAGTCCTGAGACAGAGGTCACTGTCATCTCCACAATCCTGAGACAGAGGTCACTGTGACTTTTCCCTTTACAGAGCAGACAAATGAAGCCCAGGGAGTTTTAGTGACTCATGGGGAAGCTCAGCAGCTGGTGAGCCATAAACAGAACCTGAACACAAGTCAATCTGCCAGCTGACAAATCCGTGCCTGACCTTGAACTCAGAGCATAAATCAGGACTCCATAGTGTGACTGGGGTGTGTATGGGGTCTTTGTGTGTGTATGGGGTCTTGTCTTCATTTAAGGAGGCCACAGTTCTCATCCCCTTTCAGTTAGAGTCTAATGGGACCCACACACACTGCTCAATACCCAGAGCTCATGATGAGATTTCCACCAGGCCCTACAAGAAGCCCTGGGACACAATAGATGCTCAATACATTTCACCATCTCACCCCATTTTCATAGCCTGAAGGCTTGTGGGGAGGGTCTTGTTCTCTCCCACTGTACGGATACGAGAAACTGAGGCACATGAGAAGAGACTCCCCTACAGGTCACAGAGCTCATTGCTAGAACACAGGATGGACAAGGGCAGGAAACCTCCATCCAGTCCCAGGTTGGAATATGAAGGTTCAGGGGATCACAGCAGCAGCAACAATTGCTGAACCATGACGGTTCTTCCTCCTCAAGCAGACCCTGCCCAGGTGGTTTTATTAAGGAAGAGGAAGTAGGATGCGGATGGGAGCAACACTTTGAACTGTCCCCCAGTGAGGTGGGCACCATGCATTTTGTGTTTGTTACACCTAAGCTCTGAGGCCCACTGGCTCATCCCCAGTGTGCAGGTGAAAAAAGGTTGAAGCTTTCCCCCAAGAAAGCCCGACTAACACTGGCCCTGCGCACGACTCCCTGCCAAGAAGCCCCGAAGCCCGCCAGCCACGCAGGCTGCCTTCTGCCGCTAGGCAGACTGTGAGCAGAAGATCATCTTCACGAAGTGCGACCCTCCTCCGCATCACCCAGCGGGCGACAAAGGACTGAGTTCTGCGCCAGGGGCCTCCCAAAGCCGAGTTAGGGCAGTGCCGCCACCCAGCCCGGGCCTGGCAGCCCTGCCCCCTCTCCCCGCACATCCCGCGGCAACGCGTGACTCAGCGGTTCTCCCCGGAGCGCTGAGCGCCGCCCTCAGCATCCACACGCCTGGGTCGCACACCTAGCCTCTGCCTCCCGGGTCCGCGCACCCGCCGGGAGTCGCCGCGCCCGCCTCATTTCCGGCAGAGCTCAGCACCGGGGAGGCCGGGCCCACGCAGGTTCCTTGGAGCAGGCACCCACGCACACCGGCCCCCGGGACTCAGTGCCAGGGCCCCTCCCACCCGGGGCAGCCACCTGCTTAAGTCCTAGACACCTCTGGGCCAGGCCCGCAGCCCCCGAGCGGGATGCGCCTACACTGCCCGGGAAGGTCTCCAGCACCAGGGTCCCCGTGGGGCGCTGTAGCCTGGTCTCGTTCTCCCACTGGAGCGGATTCACTCCTCCGGCCCTTGGCTGCGGGCTGGAGCTGTCCCCACCGTTCCTGCGGCCAGGCCAGGCCTGGGGACCCCGGAAGTTACTGTCACATTAGCAAAGGATCCTCTGCATCCCACCAGCCTTTGGTGGGGACTGACGCACAGGGCCAACTTAGGGGGTTTTAAACGCAGAGCCCATTTGGGGTAGCATGCCCCACTTTTTCGGGAAACCATGAAGGTCTAGCTCAGCTCCTGTCTCAGTAGCACTACCCAGGAATAAAACAGTAGCCGGAACGAGCCTCCTTCCCCCTCCCACGCAGGGGATCCGCCTCTGGAGGCCAGGGAGGTGCCAAGGCAGCTGAACCCTGGAGGGTCGGGCAATGGAATTTTTCCCCCTGGGTCCCTCTCCAGAGAGTGGGCAATCCAGAAATTTCTGCGGGCTCTGATCAGGCTGAAAGGGCAAATGAAGGATTTTTAAGCCTTTCCACGTCCCGGAGATTTCCACAGCAGATTTGCTGCAGGCTTGGGCTTTGTAAATGATAGTCAGGGCCCGATCCAGTGCCACTCGGCGGGGGAAGGACAGCTGCGTTCCCGAGGGCGACACGGAGGAGGGCGCTGGGCAGCGGTCGGAGCCCCCCGGGTCCCTCCCTCCCGGCCCGGGGTCGGGGTGGGGTGGGGGGGACACGACACACAGCGCGCGGTCCAAACCTTCGGAGGGCATTCGGTGCGACGGCATCCCCACGCCGCGGCCGGCCGGAGGGGGTCTCAGACAACACGTACGTTACCTTCTGTCACATAGCTGTGGTCCCGCAGGAAGCTGTGGTTAATTTTCCGCGTGTCCGTGTCCTCGCCCATTGAAGGCCGCGCCCGGTGCCCTGGGCATGCCCCGCCGCCTCACACCGATGCAATCCGCAGAGGTCGCGCTGGGCGCGCGGGCCATGCCGCCGCAGCCTAGCAGGGTCGCGGGCCGCCGGGGCCCGGGAGGGTGGGCATCGCGGCCGGGTGGCCGGGGACAGGCGGGCGCCGCGCTCAGGCGAGCGTGCGGCGGGCAGGCGGTGGCCGCAGCGTGGGGCGGGCCGGGGCCGGGGTGCGCATCCCGGCCGCTCGGTTCGCGCTGCGTCCGGGCGCCTGGCGGTGGCGGCAGCGGCGGCAAGGGGACGCGCGCAGCGCTGAGCTCGGCTGCGCCGTGGCGGGGCCGTGTTGCAGGCCCCTCCCTCCGCCGCGCGCCTCTCCGCCCCCGGCCGCGCAGCTACCGCGCAGGTGGAGCTGCTGCACCGAGCTCCGGCCACAGCGGTCACCTCTGAGCCCGGGACGCCACCCGGGAGGAACACCTATCTTGAGTGGAGGCCACCTAGGTGGCCAGGTGTTCCAATTAGGGACAAGGAGGCTGGAGGAAGACTTGGGGCGGGGGGGGGCGGGAGGTCGAGAGCGCGAGGATGTCTGTCTCGGCCCTTTATTAAGAAGATGTAGGTTGGTCTGACAATTGCGGGGGGCGGGGGAGGCTGCCCAGCGCGCCTTTGGGGAGCGGAAGGTCAGTACCCCACGAGGCAGAGCGGGATAATTCGACGGGGGGGGCGGGGGGGTGAGTTGCCACCGGTCCTGCTCACCTTTCTGCTCACAGGTGAGATGTGTCTACGGACACCTTCGTGGGAGCACTCAGGCAGGTTAGCTCCACTTCATCCCTGGAGCCTCCCTGCCAAGCTAGGGTTTCTGCCCTCTCTCCTTTCCTTCCCTCCTCCCGTTCCGCTCCCATCTTCCTCCCCTCCAGGACTCCTTTCTTCCCTCTCCCTTTTCCTCTTTTTCCTCCCCCCCTTCACCCTTTCAGTACTTCCGTCCTCTCCCTCCCCCTTTCCCTTTCTTTTCAGGACTTACTTCTTTCCCTCCTTTTACGTTCCCTTTCCCTTTCCTGCTTTCCCCCTCCCTTCCTTAGTCATCCGGATATTTCCAGCATCCTGCATGAGCCAGGCATACACAGGGCCCTGGGGGTGTCGGGGGTCTCCTCTTTTACCAAGTTGCCACCTCCTCCAGCTGACTCCCACCCTGAGGAATCTGGAGTCCTCTGTGGGGGATCCACGGGCTTCAGGAGTCTTGATCTTTAGTCTGCCCGAATTCTCGGTGAGCTCTCCTGTGACAGGACAGCAGCTTAGCCTCCCTTGGGAGAGGTGAGGCTCTGGGGTTAGCAGGGGGAGGGGCCTGGAGACCTAGGTGTTAGGCGCAAGCTGGGGCAGGTGGCTCTGAGGCTGCTTTCCCTTCCACAGCGCTGTCAGAGCTGGCCTATGGGACTCTGGGCACCTTCCTCCCCAGTGCAGTCCAGAGGGTGTTGGAAGGGAGAGGGTGGGTTGGAGGGACTCTGGATAGTGAAGGCATCCAGAGCTAGAACTGATTTCCGCAGAAAGGCCTGCTGAGGACCTGTAAGGTTGAACAAGTGCCCCAGAGTCCTGCAGGGTGTTGGGAGAAAGTCTAGACACCCTCAGAGACCTGAGGCTTGGCTAGTACCTGCTTGCTGAGTGACCGGGGGCAAGTCCTCTGATATACCTCAGCCTGGGCTTTCCTTCTGTGGAGCAGACCACCATTGTCTACCTCCTGGCTGGGGTGCAGATTCAGGGCCAAAACATTCAGGCAAAACTCACTCCCTACAGGAAGGTGACTAGCTAACACATGGTCTCTTTCTGGCCTGGCATGCTCTCCATTCTCCAACACCTGCTCTACTTAGATACCCTCTCCACATCCTTACCCAACACCCCACTCTGAAGCCTGGCCTCATCTTACCATCATGATGAGCAGCACTGCCCCCCCCACCATGTGTCCCATCCCTATCCCCTGGTCTTAAAGGGATCCCACACCTACCTTCTTATCTGTCCATCCAGCTTTACCTGCTTGATGCCCTGGACCTCACAGAAAACAGTCAACTATGACCTAATGCCACAATCATAGCTCTGAGCCATGCTGAGGATCCCAGATCCCATGGGCTCCAAGCTGTCATCAGCCCATCTGCATCAGCAGTATCCTGTTTTCTTCAGGGCTCATCTGCACTGCCTTAGTGTTGTGAGAATTTTTACCCTGGGGGGGGGGGTGCTAGGCCGGCCACATCCACATCCCCCCTCCCAAGGTTCGAATGATAAAAAGTTGGAGTCCACCTAAGTTCACCCTGGGAACCATCGGATGTATTAGGCTTAGTTATAGATCAGTGAGTGAGGGGCGTGGGTGACCTTCAAGCAGCCACACTGGAAGTGCTTGCTTTCCCCAGCAGAGATGGTGGAGACCCATCCTTTCCTCCTTCCCTACCTACATACTCTAGCCTCTCCCTGGGAACCACCCCCCTTAAGGTCATATGCAGCTAGAGCAGAAATGCGTACGGCCGATTGGGAGGGGCAGCTGGATATGCCCGCGAGGGTCCTATAACCCTCCCTCCCAGCCCTCCTCCTAGGAGGGAAAGTCAGCAGTCAAGAAGACCAGGTGGGATGATGTTTTGGCAACAGGCCCAGCTGGACCCCTGATGATGGTGAGCTTGGTATGGAGGATAGTCCTGTACAACACTCTCTGATCATCAGTCAGAGCCAGGCCTCCCCTTTGGGCCTCCTGCACCCCTCAAGCACAGAACCCACTGCCCCTCTTCTGTTCTGTGCAGGTCCATCACTGCTCCTGGCAGAATCATGGACCCCCGTGTACTCTCTGCCTTTTCTGCATTCGCGATGGATGTTGCTGGGCCCCTCCTGTGCCGCCATGCCCCCACAGTGGCTCCATGAACAGCACAGATAAACACTCTGCTTCAACGGGTCATGGTGATGAAGAGTCAGCTGGGGCTAAGCTGGAGATGTGCCTGCAAGGTCCATTGGCGCCTCCATCTCCGCCACATCCCCTTGAGCTCCAGCCTCTTCATGGCTGATTCTAGAAGGCTCTACACAGATGCCTCCTCTTCCTCACACCTCACTCACTGCTCCTTCTAAGTAGCTGGCCAATGTGTGTCCCAGTGAGTTTCCTCTGCGTCCCTTCTGACATCCAGACCATGCACAGAGGGCCAGATATGTCCCTAATCCTGAGGCCTGGATTACAGAGGCCTGTTAGTGATATGGATAGTAGCTTTACCAGAAGAGACAGAAGAGCTTACTCAGTTCCCCTGACCTAAAAGGTCACAGGGCACCAGATGAGAGATGTGGACTACCTCTAAACCAGGAAGAAAGCTCTCTCCACAGAATCATGTTGACCCAAATCTCCACCTTGGGCCTGATCTTGGACTGCAACCTCCAGAGCTGTGAGAAAATACATTTCTGTTCCTGAAGGCACTCAGTCGACGGTATTTTGTTAAAGTGACCCAAGCTGACAAATGTGCACACAGGTACATGTCCTCAGTGGACAACCACAAGTGACTAGACAGACTTACTGTGTCCTCCCTTCTGTAACCGGCCCCTCTGCCAGGAGGGGATACACTTCCCCAGGCCTGTCCCATCCCACTCTCACCCTGACTGTGAGTGTCCTTAAGTCACCTGTTGAAATCGAGTCAGTATCAGGAAGAGGGTCTTTAAGAAGTGATGAGATTGGGACTGGAGAGGTGGCTCACCAGTTGAGAGCACTAACTGCTCTTCCAGAGGACCCAGGTTCAATTCCCAGCACCTACATGGCAGCTCACCCCCACCTGTGACTCCACTTCCAGGGGATCTGCTCTCCTCTGACCTCCACAGACACCTGCAAGCACATGGTACACTTATAGGGAAGTAGGCACACACATGTGCACATAGTTTTGTTTTTTTTTTAATGGAAGCGATGGGGTAGGGAAGCAGGAGCCCTTGTGACAGGATTAGTGTCCTCTGAGAGAGAGCGTGTGGCTTCTTTTCTGTTGAGTGAAGACAGCTAACCACAGCCCAGGAAGCAGTCCTCGCTGCCCACCAGGGCTACTGGCACTTTGCTCTCATGACAGCCGATCTCCAGAACTTCAAGAAAGGGTAGTGATGTTTAAGTGATTCAGTCCATGGTGGTTGCGTGTGTGTGTGTGTGCGTGTGTGTGTGTGTGTGTGTGTGTGTGTGTGTGTGTGTGCGCGCGCACGCATGTGCATGCGTGCGTGCGTGCGTGCGTGCGTGCACCAACGCACTGGATCTTAATTCCAGGACCATGCATACACTGGATAAACACTCTGCCACTGAGCTGTCCCCCTGTCCTTTGTGATGGCACAAACTGTTTTCATTTGCTTCTCTGTTGCTGTGAGAAAACATTCTGGCCAAAAGCAATTTAGGGAGGTATTTATTTCCGCTTATAACTCCCAGGTCAAAACAAGGCAGAGGCCACAGAGGAGTGCTCCTTACTGGCCTGCTGTCAGCCTAGTTCCTTACACAACTTAGACCCATCTGACTAGGGATGGCACTGCCCATAGTGGTCGGGGCCCCCCTTCATCAATTCGCAACCAAAGTAATGCCCCATAGATAAGGCCACAGGCCAATCGACCCAGACAATTCTTCATTTGAGGTTCTCTCTTCCCAAGTGACTGGGTTGTGTCAAGTTGACAACTGAAGCTAACTATGGCAGGTGGCTTTGTTATAGCACCCCATAGATGACTATAGGGTAACTTCTGACCACTTTTACTAGTTTGGGGACTTCCTATAAACAGACTTATGGGAGCTGACTGTGGCTGGAATTTTCTTTGGGCCGCCAACCTGCTCCCAAATAAAGACATGGAGACTTTACCGTTAATTATGAATGCTCCGTCTTAGCTTAGGCCTGTCTCACTAGCTCTTATAACTTAATTTAACCTGTTTCTCTTAATCTACATTTTGCCTCAGGGCTTTTTAACCTTTCTTTCATTCTGTATGTCCTACTTTCCTGTTTCCTCTGTGTCTGGCTGGCCTCTGGCGTCTCTTTTTCTTTCCCTTTTTTTTCCTTCTGTCTCCCTCAGTTTCTGTTGAGCCTAGATTCTTCCTTCTTCTTACTCCCTCTGCCTAGAAGTCTCGCCTATACCTCCCGCCTAGCTATTGGCTGTTTAGCTTT